TTTCTGGGTGATGCTAATTTGACTCCGTTGTGTCTTGGTCAGTCCCTGTTATTACCTTATCACCTTGCAGTAGTTTTCCACAGGATGTTTGCCTCAGGCAATACAGGGATTTAACTTGCTGGGGAGGTGATTTGGAATTGTTTTTTCCAGGATTTTTTAATGCATACCCTGAACAGTGTTTTATTCACTCAGACATTTTTCTCTTCAGAAACACTTGTGGGTTTTCCTAGCATGTTTTTTCACTTAAAAAAAACAAAACAAAAAACCAAATCACTTAGAAGCTTGGGTTTGTGGTGTCCTACTGACACTGCAAGGATCATCAGCTGACAGAGCCCTTAAGTCCACCACACAAACATCAGGCTGAAGCAATCCTAAGAAGGTCTAGTGATGGTAAGCTGTCACGAAGCAGATGGAGCAGAGTGAGGGAATTTTACTTTCTATAGTATTTCCTTTCAGGAGACGTATGACAAGGCAGGTATCTCAGGTCTTGTTTCAAGATCTAGAGGAAAGTTTGTTTTAGTGGGCCAGACTTTTCTGACATAGGCAGAAGTGTATGAGGAAAGGGTTGACACAGCACGTTAGTACACAGTGTGTGGGAGGTTGGTGACCCTCACAAATCCCAAATGTAATCCCTTCTATGCTACTCCAGGCTCTCTTAGCAGCTCCTGGTCAAGGTCAGCTCCCGGAGCTGTTTGGGGGCTGCCTCTCCTCTCCTGGCTTTTTCAGTCCAGCACCTGGCACTACCCAAAGCTTTCAGAGTAGCAACTATGGAGTATCCAAGCTGGATCTATGCCTGGCATAAGTGGAGTCTTCATGAAATTCAGAGAGATTTAAATGCCTCTTGAGCTTGTGTGGATTGATCTTTTTTTTCCAAAAAGCTTGTAACTCAACCAACTTCAGATTGGCTCTTGTGGGAATGCCAGAACATGTACCAGAACATATACCCTGATGGCTTCCCTGCCAAATTTCAAGTCTGCTCAAAAGATAGGAAGAAGTAGGTGGTGTTAAAACTCTTCCAAGGGAAGATCACCATCCTTTTTTAGTTGGGAAATTACACCGAAACTCTGCACAGATGGCTGAAAGTTTGAAAAGCCTTTTTTGTTTATTATTATTCCTAAGGCTCTGTGAGCTTGTAGAGCTTGCAGAAAATCTCTCTGTGCCTTAGTCTCCATTCAGTGAAATGGGGATAGGGAAATGTGTTTTGAGATTGAGGCTGGGGTACAGCCTG